TGAGCGAAGCACTTGTTCCGGAAGTGTTCGGACGTCATCAGTCGTATGTGTAAACTGCTTTTCATTCAAAAACAGGGGGATTTGGCGGCTGGATTAACGAGCTTAGATCTTTGTATGCGAGGACGGCCTGCATTTATAGAGGTGGGATTCGAACCGAGGACGTCAGAGAAGGTCGAGCGCGATCGGTTGAGGGTAAAATGTTTTTTATTATAAAACAGAAGTTTTAGTAGTTTGACTATTGAGGGTTTTTGACCTTTGTTTATGAGGACAGTTTGTTATAATGCTTCACCCATTACAACCTTAATGGGTGAGGGGTACAAATGCCACCCATTACAACCTTAATGGGTGAGGGGTACAAATGCCACCCATTACAACTTTAATGGGTACAAATGCCACCCATTACAACCTTAATGGGTACAAATGCCACCCATTACAACTTTAATGGGTACAAATGCCACCCATTACAACTTTAATGGGTACAAATGCCACCCATTACAACCTTAATGGGTACAAATGCCACCCATTACAACCTTAATGGGTACAAATGCCACCCATTACAACCCTAACACCTAAACTAACCCTATACCTAGCTAGGCTCAAACTTCTAATATATGATAATATTAATTACATATGTACAAAATCCTATTTACAATACACAGTACGATAAAATTAGACGGTAGAGCGACGGTCTCGCTTCATGCAAGTCGGCGTTCAATCCCCGACTGTCCAAGAGGTTGATCACCATTCCTTTCCCCCCCTCCGTCCCATCCCCCCCCCCCCCCGTCCCATCCCAAATCCTTATCCTGGCCCCTTCCCAGTGCTATATAGTCGTAATGGCTTGGCGCTTTCCCCTGATAGCTCCCTCTCTCCTCCAATAAAAACAAAAAACTAACGTAAACGTCTCTATTCCTAACCATAAAAATATAATTTAATTAAATTTTGTCTACATTCGATTGGCCTTACGAATTTACTTTCGAAAATATGATATTTTAGATTACAGATAACGATAATATTTTTAAATGTCTCTTTAGTATCGGCCTCATAGCCTCAGAATAGTTTTTTTTTTATCAACGGAAAATGATACATAATAAAGTAGTTACTAATGCATAGGAGGGAGGTAACTATCAGGGGGAAAGCTCCAAGCCATTACGACTACATAGCACTTGGAAGGGGTCAGGATAAGGATTTGGGAAGGGATGGGGAAGGAATGGTGCGCAATCACTTATGGACGGTCGGGGATTGAACACCGACCTGCATGAGGCGAGACCGTCGCTCTACCGTCCAGCCCAAGTGCTTGGCTCTGATACAACAACGCGCAAATGAGACGCAGATGTCACGGAGACTCAGTGAAACATGCGTTCTAAGGAAACCGACACCGTTGTCGAAGATTTTAAGTCTGAGAACGCGCAGAAATGTTGCCGTAACAATCAGAGAGATTGTTACAGCAATCTCAACAATCAGCACTCTGATTGTTGCTGTGCACCAGGCATCAATAATGCACCTTGCATTATCCAGTAATACTACTATCCTCCTCCCAACCCACGCCCCTCTGCACGCACACTCTCTCTCCACACACACACACACACACACACACACACACACACACACAACTTATGACATCTTTCTCTCCATTCTCCAGTCTTAAGTGACGCCCCACGAGTGATGTGGGGCGTTTACCTACTGTTCCCTACCCAGTGTTCCTCCTACCTTGGAGCCCCTACCCAGTGTACCTACCTTGGGGCTCCTACCCAGTGTTCCTACTTTGGGGCCCCTACCCAGTGTTCCTACTTTGGAGCCCCTACCCAGTGTACCTACCTTGGAGCCCCTACCCAGTGTTCCTACCTTGGAGGGCTCCTACCCAGTGTTCCTACCTTGGGGCCCCTACCCAGTGTTCCTACATTGGGGCCCCTACCCAGTGTTCGAGAGCGCGTTCTTGGTATCAGGATGTTGTGTTATAGGAGGTAATGTTGAATTATAGGTGGGTATTATAAGGATAAAGGGGCGTGTGGATATGACAGGATAAAGTGACGCGATCATATGACAGGATAAAGTGATAAAGTGACAGGATAAAGGTTCTTTGGGACCTTCAAGGCCGGCTCGTATCCGGCCTAGCAACCTCTTAACACTTTTTGGAAACCTTGAGCTATTTTGGATTCATTTGATCTCTTTCGATGCCTTTGACTTTGGATTCTATTGGCCACTTTGGATGCCCTTGATCTTTTTCGATATTTTTGGCCTCTTTGGATTCTTTTCGTCACTTTGGATCTGTTTGGCTACTTTGGATCTCTTTGGCTTCTTTAGCTTCCTTTGGATCCACTTTGACAACTTTGGATTCCTTTGACTTTTTTGGGGATTCCATTGGCCTCTTTGGATTCTTCTAGCCACTTTGAAGGCCATTTTTCTTCTACTGATGCCTTTTTTCACTTTTGATCCTTTTGTCCACTTTTGATCCCTTTGTCATTTTAGGATTTCCTTGAACTCTTTGGATGCTTCTCACTTGTCCTCTTTTTTGGGAGCTCCAAAAACAGTCTTGCCTCCCACAAAATCTCCGAAAGGCGTCGTATATACAATTTCGAAACTTTTTTGTTCTGTGAAGCTTGGAACCTAAGTCTTTATTTTTGGCTCCATCCTGGAATGCCTTGAGTTTCCTGGAGTCAAGAATGTCTTCATATATTTAGATTAGGCGGACATTTATGGGCTCTGAATCCATGGAAAAAGTTTTTCCGTTTTGGGGTCTTTGAGAGTGTGTTTTAATCTCCCAACTCTGGAACTATTAACGGCACTTGGTTCATGGAAACTTTCTCGTCTGGAACTGGAAAAGTGTTTAATCTGTGTTTTTGTATCTGTTGAATTAACTCCTTTTATTCGATTCAGACTTTTTTCCCCCCTCTTTAAACCTCAAATAACCGTCAGGTCTTGACAGTACGAAGCTCTTTGTTATTTTCAGGGCTTGAAATAGCATGTGTTATTTCTTTTCTGAAGTTTCATGTTAATGGCATTTTTATTATTCAATCATTTCAGCCAAAAACTTGTTAATCTCCTCGTTCAAGAACTGCAGGGGAAGAGACGACGTTTTAGTTATGACATATGAGTGGGTTCGATTCCCAGTGGTTCAAAAGGGGGGTTTAGGTATCGTACCTTCACTCAGTCCTCATATCCCGGTTCCTTGTCCTCATATCGCAGCTCCTTGTCCTCATATCCCAGCTCCTCGTTCTCATATAGAAGATCCTAGTCCTCATATCCCAGCTCCTTGTCCTCATATTCCAGCTCCTTGTCCTCATATCTCAGCTTCTTGTCCTCATATCCCAGCTCCTTGTCCTCATATCCCAGCTCCTCGTTCTTATATAGAAGATCTTTGTCCTCATATCCCAGCTCCTTGTCGTCATATCCCAGCTTCTCATTCTCATAAAGAAGATCCTTGTCCTCATATCCCAGCTCCTTGTCCTCATATCCCAGCTCCTTGTCCTCATATCCCAGCTCCTTGTCCTCATATCCCAGCTCCTTGTCCTCATATCCCAGCTCCTTGTCCTCATATCCCAGCTCCTTGTCCTCATATCCCAGCTCCTTGTCCTCATATCCCAACTTTTTGTTATCAAATCCCTTGCAAGTGCCATGAATACATACTAGCTTAGCGCTCTCTTCTGATAATTACATTAACTGAGAAGATTAAATGGTTTCGTCGTCTCATGCTTATCCACAGGTAAACGCCTCAACCTTTCTCATCCATAAGCTCCACGAAGATTCCTTTGTCATCAATGTAATCAAATATATTGTTAAATATTGATGTCAGCATATTTTTGTTAATACTAAAAATAATAATTTTATCACCTGTAATTCGCAAGATGGAGAAGCTGGTTTTGGGGCATCCGGCTTACGATCGAAGCCGGATTTTATGACTTACGATCATCCGGCTCATTGTGACTTCAACAAGTCACAAGCCTTGTAAATAGGTGAATAAAAACCCATATTCAATGAAAATATAGAATACCAGCATTGCTGAATAAAACTGAACATGATAATAATAATATTAATTAAAAAATTCAATAGAGCATTGAGGCGGGCTCGAACTTACGACCAAAGCAATGCCAAGTCGTATACTCTACCACAAGACCACCGAGACTTGTTAAATCATATTCGTATTTCTACTGAAATCTCAGGAAGTGTGGAGGCCCCTACTGAAGCCTGAACAGGAACCCTGGTGGGTTCAGTAGGATCCCAGGTTGTAATTGTTTTGACCATGTCGTGGTTTAGTTGTGTGTGGCGTGTGCCTGGGAATACCCAGCGCATAGGTTCGAATCCTCATCACGGCTCCTACGGATTTTAATAATAATAATAATAATATATTAATATTTACTTTATTAGTTATGTTACACATTTTCAGTTACTATCATAATAAAACAAATTTCATAATATCATTATAATATTTGTGAGGATACTGTAAAGTTTCCAAATTATAAAATGTTAGAGTGACAGACTTCTTAAGAAGAGACAGACTCTACAAGAAAAGACAGATTCTACAAGAAATAGACAGACTCTACAAGAAAAAGACAGACTCTACAAGAAAAAGACAGACTCTACAAGAAAAAGACAGACTCTACAAGAAAAAGACAGACTCTACAAGAAAAAGACAGACTCTACAAGAAAAAGACAGACTCTACAAGAAAAAGACAGACTCTACAAGAAAAAGACAGACTCTACAAGAAAAAGACAGACTCTACAAGAAAAGACAGACTCTACAAGAAAAAGACAGACTCTACAAGAAAAAGACAGACTCTACAAGAAAAAGACAGACTCTACAAGAAAAAGACAGACTCTACAAGAAAAAGACAGACTCTACAAGAAAAAGACAGACTCTACAAGAAAAAGACAGACTCTACAAGAAAAAGACAGACTCTACAAGAAAAAGACAGACTCTACAAGAAAAAGACAGCATCTTCAAAAAGAGACAGGCTTTCTTATACTACAACACAAACTTCGAAAATATATGTATTTCACTGAGAATAACTTTTTCCTCTTCTTTTCCTTTCAGAACGATTTCCAGTCATGAAGATGACAAGTTGAAGAGCGGCGAGTTTCCCTCCCAACATGAGAACTGGAATCCCATCTCCATAAGGCCCTGAATTCTTTAGAAACTTCGACTAGTTCTTGTGGAACTTCGACTAGTTCTTGAGGAACTTCGACTTATTTTTGTGGAACTTCGACTAGTTCTTGAGGAACTTCGACTAGTTCTTGTGGAACTTCGACTAGTTCTTGAGGAACTTCGACTAGTTCTTGTGGAACTTCGACTAGTTCTTGAGAAACTTCGACTATTTCTTGTGGAACTTCGACTAGTTCTTGTGGAACTTCGACTAGTTCTTGAGAAACTTCGACTATTTCTTGTGGAACTTCGACTAGTTCTTGTGGAACTTCGACTAGTTCTTGTGGAACTTCGACTAGTTCTTGTGGAACTTCGACTAGTTCTAGAGGAATTTAAACTAGTTCTTGAAGAACGTCGACTATTTCTTGAGGAATTTAAACTAGTTTTTGAAGAACTTCGACTAGTTCTTTAGAAACTTCGACTAGTTCTTGTGGAACTTCGACTAGTTCTTGAGTAACTTCGACTAGTTCTTGTGGAACTTCGACTAGTTCTTGAAGAACTTCGACTAGTTCTTAAGGAACTTAAAGAACATAGCGTTGACGGAAAGACTATATCACATGTGATAGATGTTGTGAAATATCAAACATCTTTAGTATAATAATAATAATACTACTAATAATAAAAATAAAAATTTAGCTGAATACATTACCATGTGAGAACCCAACAACTGCTCTGACACGACATTTGCTACCAATGATATATATATATATATATATATATATATATATATATATAATCTGAGTATTAACAGTTGCTAAATCTCAAATTTACCTCTACTCTGGGAAGTATTGATAAACATTCATACATATGTATAAGTATATATATGTATGCACTCATGACTTCACCAGTGAATAAGCATATACGGGCCATCAGGACTCAATAGTCGAGACAATTTGACCACAGTAAATGTGACTGAGACTCCGGCAAGCGACATGACGCGGAGGGCCACCCACACCACAGCAATGGAAGACAATGGCCACAAAAAGAGGCCAGAGGCCAGACTAGAGTACACGCGGCCACACCACTCTAGCCCCTCACAGCTGGAGCCTGTGGCCACCCTGCCCTCGCCATCCTCATCCATCCCAGCTAAATACGGACTCGGGATGTGTACTCTCCTGCTCTTCAACCTCCTCTCAATAGGTGAGTTTGGGGTAATTATATTGTGGTGTGGACTGCCCGTTCTCTCTCAATTTTTCCATTTAAAAAAACATATGTTTGGCCAAATCACAAACGTCCAGACTCAAGGAATCCCACATTAACCCATCGAGGACGATGCTCGATAGTCCTAATAATAATTATGGGAATAGGGAATAATTTCCTATTATAATAAAAGGGAATAATTCCCTATTATAATAATAGGAAAACGTCAATATTATGGGGCTTTTATTTTTACTTACACGTCGCATTGTTGATGGATTGGTTAAATCCGTTTGAAATGTGAGACGTAATAGGTGAGGACTGGCTGTACCCTCAGCCTATTGAACTAGCTAGTTACTGTACCCAAGGATGTAGTAACAGTGTTACGGAAGTTACGTTACACGTTACGAAACTTATGTATTGATGAACTAATTGTGTTCATTGTTTTTCCTTGTATTCAATCGTTGTGCTACTTGGAACAGAAGTTCCAAGTAGCACAGGCTATAGTGAGTCCGTAACAGCTAACTTCATTCTTAAGTTCTTATATATGAATGAGATTGGGTGGGTATATATGAATAAGATTGGGTGGGTATATATGAATGAGATTGGGTGGGTATATATGAATGAGACTGGGTGGGTATATATATGAATGAGATTGGGTGGGTATATATGAATGAGATTGGGTGGGTATATATGAATGAGATTGGGTGGGTATATATGAATGAGATTAGGTGGGTATATATGAATGAGATTGGGTGGGTATATATGAATGAGATTGGGTGGGTATATATGAATGAGATTGGGTAGGTATATATGAATGAGATTGGGTAGGTATATATGAATGAGACTGGGTGGGTATATATATGAATGAGATTGGGTGGGTATATATGAATGAGATTGGGTGGGTATAAATAGGAGCTTCTTGGTATGACCCAATAGGCCTTCTGCAGTTATCTTCATTCATATGTTCTTAATTAACTTTATTACTATTTACCATTTATCACTTGGGATATGAGAGAGACTAAGAGCTGCCATATGAGAATAAAACTTCAAGCCAGTATGACAATATTACACACAGAAGGAATATTAGGACAAAGAACTGGGATATGAGGTTATCTTATCTTGAGGTTATCTTGAGATGATGAGGAGGCAGAGTAGGAACGATATCCAATCACATGGGCTATAGGGGGGGCCTCGAACGCCTAAACCTGCAAGAAGCGAGTACCGTCGCCTGTACCGACCAATCCAAGTACTTGAGTCACTCTTGCAGGTAAGATCTCTGATGCCACTGTAGACAAGTAGGTGATTTTATCGAAATTTTTAGAGTATATCCGATATTAATCTAAATGTTGAGAGAAGTAATCATTAAGAAACATATTAGTGAGTGGGAGAAAGGTGGCAAAGATGATATAGAGATGTAGTGTGGAAAAGGAGTTATCAGCTTGAGGTAATGAGTAAGATATGGGAACTGTACCTAAAGGGTGATACAGTGATCGTAACTGTATTTAAAGCGTGATACAGAGATGATAACTGTACCTAATGATTGATACAGACATGCTAACTACCTAATAGATGACACAGAGTCAAACTGTCAAGTAAACGACTGAAAAATGAAACAAGAAAAAAACATTCAGATAAATTTTACCGAAAAAAACGTAATAGACGGAAGAGAAAGAATGAACACTGGCAGCACAGCGGACAATAGAGGGGAAACATAGCGGCCGGAATAGGGGAAATAGAGGAAGAATATTGACGAGCCATTGAGAGGGGGATTGTGGGATACGAGGGGATTAGTGTGTCGAGGAGTTTAAGTAGCGAGGGGACATCTACAAGGGGATTGAGAGTGAACAATGGGTGCCAGAGACGGTAAGGTAACAAGGAAAAAAAAGGGGAAAAGATAGAAATAACAATCAAATTGATGTGAGGAGAAACTGGTAAGTTTCTCCCCCAAGTCTTATAACACTTGAAACAAAAGGTGAATTAGAGATTTGAAGAGTTTAACAGGTTTAGTCTGACGGGAGGAAGAGAAGCTGAGGAGAGGAAGAGAGAGACAGAGGGGAGAAAGGGAGGTTGAGAGGAGGAAGAGAGGGTGAACAGAGACGGATTAAGGGAAGGAAGAGAGGTTGAGGGGGAAGAATAGAGATTGAGGGAAGACAAAATAGTTTGAGGGGAGGCAGAGAGAGATTGAGAGGAGAGTGAGAGATTGAAGGGAGGAAGAGACAGGTGAGGGAAGATAGAGAGAGAGACAGACCAAGAGGAGGAAGACAAACCTATTAATGACTAGGTAGAATTCAAGCTGGACAGTCAACAGTCAAAGAAAATAAATTGAAAAACTTTGACGTTTTATAACTTTGTTACAGAACTTAATTTATACAAAAAGTAACAATGCATTTAATCTCAATTGAAAAATAACATTATATAAATTAAAATAACGAGGAATTATTTTTTAAACGATGCAGAGATAAAAAAAAAACGATAAACCAATCAATATATATCCAACGAGCAATTACTTTAATCATTTTAATTATTTTTAACGAACTCAATCAACACAAAAATAATTATTTCCTAAATACAAAAAAACTTTGCAATACTAATTGCAAAATAATTAACACAAAAATTATCATAATTCCTTCATAACAATGCTGAAAGTGGACGATTATTCGTCAGAGGACATCTTAGACATCTCGTCCTTGGAAGAACGAGGCGAAGAATTATCCGGAGTGCTTAATTAATTCAACACCTCCCTCATTAACTTCTCATTACTTGAATCACCACCAGGCACGAGGTTGCCTAGTAACTCATTACCACTCCCGAGTTGGGTAATGACCCTGGATGTGAGAGACTACAGAGACTGTAGTCTGTAATGCTTGGTTCATTCTCTTGATTTGGTCGACACAGTGACGATCTCAATTCTTGCAGGGTTCGATCCCCGATGGGTTCAAATGGTTCAGGCACCATTCGTATCCTAGCTCCCTTTCCTCACATCTCTGTTTCCCTCTCTTCTTTATCTCAGTTCAATGTTCTCATGACCTAGATCCTTCCTCGCTGTTCTCAGCTTACTATCCTCATATTCCATCTCCTTGTTCTCATATCCCAGCTCCTTGCCCTCTTTTCCCAGTTCCTTGCTCTCATATCAGAGCTCATTAACCTCACATCTCACCTCCTTGTTCTGATACCCCATCTCCTTGTCCTCATATCCCTTTCAATTACTGTACTGCCAAACTGGCTTAGTACTCTTTTCTCATAATTACTTTCCCTTACCTTACTCGAGGAAACCCATAATTGACATACCTCTGGTGAAGCCAGGAGTGTGTGTGTGTGTGTGTGTGTGTGTGTGTGTGTGTGTGTGTGTGTGTGTGTGTGTGTGTGTGTGTGTGTGTGTGTGTGTGTGTGTGTGTGTGTGTGTGTGTGTGTGTGTGTGTGTGTGTGTGTGTGTGTGTGTGTGGAAGCCACCACTGCCACGCCCAGTTTCCTGAACACAAAATAAAGAACGGTAATTATCAGTAGGAAATCACTAAGCCAGTGTGACGATCTCGCACTTGTGAGAACAAATGAGGAAATACAATGAGCAGGACTATGAGGTTATGAGGTATGTGGACATACTATATGAGTTCAGATTATGAGCTGGGATATGAGGATATACTAACCGATTGGTTATATGGACATACTATATAAGATCTGATCGATGAACACATATATATATTTTCAAAGAAAATATAAATTTGCAAAGATCGGTGCCCAACCACTTGGGCTAACGGGGATCGAACTCAGACCCGACAAGTGTCACCGATTATAATTATCCCTATTGAATCCTTTTAAAGTAAAATAACGTCACAATAACTCAGTGTATCTATGAGACGATATTACGGCCATGTGATGAAAAGTCCAGAAACACAAGTTCGAGCCCATTGCAGTACCTCTATAATTTCTCCACCCCCGCTATTGCTACTTTTATTCCAAAGTATTGCAGCTTGCTATTGTTTGTTGCTTTAATATTGGCTTGTTTGGATACGTTTATGTTGTTTGGTTGTTACTCTTTGTTTTCTTGATATTAAATTTATTTCTTGTTTTATTTCTTATTTATTTAATTTTAATTTTATTTTAATTTTATTTCTTATTTATTATATTTCTTGATATTATTAAAGTTTGTTACGGGTTATCTTGAGGTTATCTTGAGATGATTTCGGGGCTTTAGTGTCCCGCGGCCCGGTCCTCGACCAGGCCTCCACCCCCAGAAA